AATAAATAAATAAATAAATAAATCAATCAATCAATCAATCAATCAATCAATCAATCAATCAATCAATCAATCAATCAATCAATCAATCAATCAATCAATCCCTTCTTCACTGCCTCAGCTCCTGAGGCAGGAGGAGAGTGTGAGTGCATATGTATGCATGTGTGTGCGCAAAAGACAGGGAGAGGGGGGAGACAGAGAGGGAAAGAGAGAAAAGGACTGGTTGCATCCTTTCCTTCCTCTCAGGCTCCCTGCACCTGTAGATGCCTTCTTCTTTACCCCAACAGTGGTTGTTGTTGGTGCCATCACCTCTCCTGCCACCTCCACTGGTTATCCAAAGGCACAATTTGCAGTTACAGAAGGGTTTACATACATGGAAAGAACTGAAATAAATTGGGTCTCACAAGCGATGTAAAATAAAATACTCTGGTGGAAGAGTATTTTACCGTGGCAGAATAATCTATGTTTCCATTTACATCCCGGAGAGATCTTATTTTAAATGATGTTTTAAAAATCAGAACCAGATTCAACACCAGGTCTTATTGCCAGTGGGACTGGGCTTTTAACTTTTTAAAAGACTGGCTGGACAGCTCAGTTGAGCATGAACCAATGGCACCCAGAGGAGCCAGGGCAGGGACGCCAGGCACTGCCTCTGAGTGGGTGCCCACCAGAGGTGTCAGGGCTGGGAACTGCCAGACACATTCGTCCAAAGGATGAATTGGCACAAACCTACAGATCAGCAGTTTGTGCTTATCTCTAGATGGGAGTTCCCCACTCGTCTTCCTATGAGTACAGTCAGTCTGCGTGGCCTTGGGCAAACTACACAGAAGAAAGGAATGATAAACCACTTCTCTACCTGGAAAATCCTGAAAGGGGTCACCATAAGTCAGAATCTTGAAAGCTTACATTCAATTTTTGTGAGTTTGATAGTCCAATTGACCGTCTGATATGAATTCTGGAATCAATCAACTAGTTGTTTTAAAGAATGGAAAAGGTGGGAAAGGCAAAATGTAGAAGAAAGCAATGAAAAATTGAATGATGAGATAGAGGCATGGATTCTTCAAAAAGGCACATACAGTAGCTCTCCCTTCCTCATGTTTTGGGAATGGCTGCTGAGAAAACAGAGAAACCTCAGGAGAAGAAAGACAAAGGCAGTGTGGAGTAGGAAAGCCTCTTTATGTTCTGCACAATTGTTGACAAAAGCAGCTCCATCCTTCCCCCCCATGCCATTCTTCAAAGGAAGGTAAGCCGCAAGTGGTCTGAATTGACAAGACACGGCCATTTTGTATTACCACTACATCACCTACCGACATATTGCTAAATGAGTAAGCCGCCTAGAGTGGTCTTAACCGACTAGATAGGTGGGATATAAAATAAATAAATAAATAAATAAATAACTCTTTTCATTCAATTTTAACAATGTTTTTAAAAAGGTGTCAGTCCTAGAGGTATGAGCCTGAAGGAATTCATGCCAAACCATTGCAGGCCATCTCACTGAAGAGGACACCCTCCATGGGATCAAGACACACTGCCCTGTTGCTCCAAAGGACTGCTATAGGTGATCCTAAAAGCTAGAAAGTGAGACAAAACAACGCAAGCAAAAATGCAATAACAAAAGCCTCAAGCTCTGCCGGCCGAACAAAATTTATCAAATAGACATGGAGAAATATGAGGTCTGCTTGCAATTACGTTATGTAGTTGACAGAAAGAAGGTCAAATTAACAGTGGGAACTACAGTACAAACAGTGAGACAAACGTCAGTTTCATCAGAAAGAATGAGACCCCGTAATAAGGAGAAATTAGAAACAGAAGAGTATTGCAATGCATTAAAGTCTAAGAAATGTACTTCACTGTGAGTGTCTATTGATCACAATCCACTTCTTCAGACACACCTTAAGGAGATAAGAAGATAACCCCACATGTGACTTGCTGTCTAGGTTAGCTCAGCTTCTTCTAGTTTGTCAGTAAATCCAGGCAAGATAAGCCACCTGCATCCTGTAGAGATGAGGTGTTCAGGCAGGATCTGTAGCAATAGGCCATCTAAAAGTGTAAGCAACTAAGACATTAATTTCCATTGCCCTTATCCTTGACTAAAAACCGTCTACACATTCTCTGCAGATGCTAAGAACATTTACAGTAGGAATTGACTCCAGATTTTCTTTGTGCATTTTCAGAACGACCTAGAATAGATTGTACACCACGAGAATCGTTTACTGATGTGTCAAGACATATAGCAGTATTACATTTGACATGAATAAATAGGTGTTTCTCTGTTCTTATGTATTTATTTGACAGTTTACAGTTACTACCTTGTTGTTGTTACAAGCTCTTTGCTATTATTTTTTATTGTGAAATTGTTAGCAGCCTTCTTCTCAACAAATAATAAATCAGAAAGAGCAAGAAATGGTGTTTCAGAAAACTATAGTGCAGTACAGAGGGTAGCATTATAAATTCTGTCTCGACTGAGCTCAGATGCAGAGCAGACAGTTTGAAAGCACACTAATTGTACAATATAGCATATTTTCCCACTGTGGGGCAAGCCCTGACTTATCAAAGCACCAATGAATTGTTCCATGCTGTTCGGTTTCAGTCATGGAAAATATAGCTGCAAGTGTCTCATATTGGCTAGTATGTCTGATATCATCAACACATAGGCTAGCACCGGTGATGTTATCAACACAATGTTTGGAGAAATCTGACCATGTTTTTTAAAAATATTTATATTGTACACTATACAGTAAATAAAGATCGAATCCACGCGACAGAGTGAGTGCCCGTCGCTTGTCCCAGCTCCCGCCAACCTAGCGGTTCGAAAGCATGTAAAAATGCAAGTAGATAAATAGGGACCACCTCGGTGGGAAGGTAACAGTGTTCCGTGTCTAAGTCGCACTGGCCATGTGACCACAGAAGATTGTCTTCGGACAAAACACTGGCTCTATGGCTTGGGAATGGGGATGAGCACTGCCCCCTGGAGTCGAACACGACTGGACAAAAAATTGTCATGGGGAACCTTTACCTTTACCTTTACCTTTTACACTATAAATATAGTGAGAAAGATACACAAAGAATGGAATAAAGAGTGTAAGACTTCTACACTTAATGTGCATGATTAAATCAGTCAGCATCAATTTCATTAATCTGTTGAACATCTCTTTTACGAAATCCAGGACTATGGTTTATAAACTGAGGCCGGAAATAATGACTTGGTGACTCAAGGTTTCTCAGTGACTTTGTGGTGGAACATGGCAGAACACTGAATTTAAGTTCAGTATTTCAGGTTCAAGTACCCTGTGGATAGAACAACAGGCTAGGACTCAGGAGACCAAGGTTTGAATCCCTGCTTGGTCCCGGAAACTCACTGGGAATGGCAGCAGAAATGGTACAGCCACTTCTCAAATATCTCACTTAACCTTGAAAGTCCTATTAGAGTTGCTGTAAGTTGGTTCTGATTTGACAGCAAATAATTTAACATTTTATAAATAATATATATATTTTAATTGTCTGCCCATTTTGTATAAATCTTGTCTTAACCAGAGATTTGCTAGTACCTAAATGTTGCAAATGATATAAAAGCACCTGTGCTGAATAGTTGCTAGGAATAAGTATTGATTTACTACCCTTTCCAAGAAAAGCTTCTTTGTTCCTACCCATATTGGTACCATTGATATTCTTATCAGAAATTTCTATTTGTTGCCTTTTGTTTTCGTCTGCCACCAAGATACATTAAAATAACTGCTGCAGATCTCATAAATACATCAAGAAGAAACAAAGGTAGCATGCTTTCAAATAAGGAATGCCATCAATTAGTGCTGAGCTTCTTTATCCGCCTGCAGCAAAATCAACAAGTGCACTGTAACTATACTGTATATACTTGGCTTCAGGGGAATCTCTCAAATGAAACAAATCTCACTCTTCTTTTCAAAAAAGTTCCTCCTTTACCATGTGTGATTCCTTTTTGTATTTTGTATCCATTACATCAGGTCATGGGGGGCTACTGGATTGCTTATATGTCTGTTTTTAACATTCTGGCCCTTGCTAGTGGAGATGCTGATTCCATATCTAGAAACAATGTACTCTTGAGAGGAAAAAAAAGATCAGTTTGCTGAACTTGCCTCAAATCCACATTTCACAATTTAAACTACTTTTGCTTTATAATTGTTTGGTTTGGCTATTGCAGCATTGCCTGTAATGCTGAAAGGTTTGCATGGCCTAGAGAGAAAAAACTGCAAAAGGAGGGAATATGCATCTGCTTTTAACATGTTATCTGATGCCCTATGCTAGCCATTTTGAGGACCAGTTGATCAGAAGGCAGGATAGCAATTCCTGAAATAAATATAAATCAAAGGAGATCAGTGAATGACCTTTAACTAAGATACCAATGATACTATGAAACAGAAGATGGTCTTTCAACCTGGTGTTCTCCACATTTTGCACTGCAGGTCTGTGCTAACTGGGGCTGATGGGAACTGAAGTTTAAAATCTGAAGGGCAACAGGTTGAAGAAGAGTGAGATCAAACAAATGATAAGTGGAAACCAACACCTTTCACCTGGCAACGACCCTTCTGTCAAGATTGCAGCAAAGAGTTAGGGAACAAATCCATTCCATCAGTGCCTTCCTCAGCTGCCAATAGGCTGAATCCGTCCCAACAGAGGGAGGCAGGACACGGTGCCTATCCAATCAGCTTGGTGAAGAGAGACTTGTTCTGTTGCAATTGCCACTTGGCTGCAACTTTTATCTCTCCCAGACTTGTCTCCATCTCAGCATCTCAGAATCAGTACCTCAGAACTTTAGGAATTAGTTCCCTAGTTTGTTTCCTTGCCTTCATCTCCTGCATCCCCGTAATTTTTTCTTTTCCTCCTCCAGTTTTTCAGATTATGAGCCTTTGGGCAGGAACCATCTTGTTTATACAGACCATGTGTAAACTGCTATGGAAGACTTCATCTGAGGAAGAGCACAATAAAAATGTTTCCAGCAACAGCAGTTGGTTGAATAGCTCAATGAACTGGACACCAGCCTGCAGAGCCACAGGTTGGAAGTTCATTTCCCCACTGTGTTGTCCCAGGAGGAGATGCATCCTATGTAGTCTTCGGCAAGATGCACAGTCCTGTCTCAGCTCCTGAAGAAGGGAACGGGAAACCCTGTTTGAGTACTCTATATCTACAAAAATCTGGATAGGATCCCCATATGTTGGAATTGACTTGACCATATGTAACAACAACAGGGCCTAGCATCTTGTAATGGTACAGACTTGATTTGGAACATCTGCAAAGTCACTGTACATTTGATAGATCCATATGTTTCTCTCATTGCAAGCTAGAACTTGTTCTTTCCATTACTTTTCATTTTATACTGGAAAAACTCTGGACTCGAAAAACTCTGGTACGTCAGGATATATATATTTTCTGGAGAAAAGCAAAATGTAAATCAGCACTTGGTTAATATGACTTGTTTTGCAGTTTTCCTGCTACAGGAGAAGTTTCATTTAAAAAAAAAACTTGTGCCTTGCTCAAAATGAATAATTTCTCTAAGGCGATCAAGCTTCATTATAGAGGGAAAGCTGATACAGCTACTCCACCACATGGCTACAGTTCTCCCAATGATCTACATTATTTCATAGCAAAGGTATTCAGACTATGTCGCCAGTAGAGAACTCTGCCTTATTAGGGTGTCAGTCTGCTTAGAGAGACTACAGTTTCCCCATGTTCCAGCAAGACTGTATAAAAAACACCCACCCCGAAACATACCCTTTACATTAAGCTGAGAAGATACACACTGCTTAAAAATCCAGACAGTATGGCCTGTCATTAAGAGAAGTGTTTCATGGCATGGCACAGTCATTTTACTGAGTGATGACCAAGATTTTTGCCCTCCTGCGCCATGTGAGACATGACATGCTTCTTTGAACCATCTGGTTATATTGTACTAAAATTATCCTGAAACCTGCCTATAGACTTAGATTGCCAAGTGGTGATGCCCCATGCCTTGTCCCATGTTTCCTTATGAAGCTTGGAGTCAGCAGGCAGATTGTGGTCAAGGTCCCAAAGGTGTGGAATGCTGACATTGACCATTGGTGCCGAGGGACTGGAAAGGCCCAAAGGTAACAGAGAAATTCAAAGGAAACAGAGATCCAACCTAGGACAATAGGAAAAGGGCAGAGAAATATAAGCAACAGTAAACAAAGGAAGACTATGCATTTTTGACAGGCACATTATAGTAGGATGTTTGGTGGCCATGTGCATGCATATACTGTATCTATATATGCAGGGATTCTGCCATCAGGATGCAGCTGTCTCCTACTTAGAGACTGGTCATATAGAAAAGTATGTAAGAAAGCACAAATATTAAGGATTCCAGTGTATGGGCTAATGATTAATGATTTTTAAAGTCATCACTGAAATTCAGGCAGAGAAAGTATTTTACAGGAATACAAACCAAAGAACAAAAAAAATACTCCTGGTAAGTAGAGATTGCTGGAGTGGATGACCTTGCTCTATAGAACTTTGGAGAGCATCAGTAATCAGACCTCTTATCTTAGCAATCAATACCTGGAAGAAAGAAACTGCTCAGGGCAAAATTTTAGAGTGGTTGGCTTAGCATTTGGCATCAGCACCAGCTGTCACTCTGACTTGGTGTCTACTAATTATATTATTTCTTCTTCTTCTTGCAAAGATTACAAAAGCAAATTACAACTCCTATCTGGTCCAAACTGGGCACATTGTCCCAACACACTGCTACCTTTACATTTATTTATGATAACTTTTTAGCTTTTACTTTGTATAATTTCCCACACCCTTCAAGGCTGTTCCACAATTTCTTGTTCTCTGAGCTTTTCAGAAGCTCATCCATCGCTTCCTCCAGTGGATGCTGAACAATATATAACCACTTTGAGTACAGGGTGCCTTATATAGGCAATAACTGCTCTTCCAAATCCCTTTGCCATGAGGAAGGGACCATCCCTATACCAGTGGCAGCAGGTTCACCTTTTATGGTGACCAATGGTGAGCTGGACCAGGAGGAAAAGTGGAGGTTCATACAACCATGGGTATTTTTTACAGGAAACAGAGAGGAAGGCAGCTAGACAGGGTGTTCACATGTATGCAAAAATGCAGGCCTTTTGCCTCTTGTAAGGAAGCAGCCAAGGCCCAGATAACTGGGGACAAGCTTTAGTGGAGCAGCACCCCACATATGCCCCAATAAACAAGCCACCACTATCTAAACACGTAAAGCAGTCAACCCTTTTTGAAAAGTTTGTTTTTACTCTCAAGGTGTGACATTTTTCTTCCTTTGCATGATCAAAGAGAATTTGATCTTAGAGCATCACTCTTGCCCCAGATCATCACCGTATCTGAAGTCTATCAGTTTCCAAGCCCTGGCCTTTCTCCCTGCTTGTGCCCCTCAAAGGCGTGTACAAAAGTGGGCAAAAAAATGGCCACTGCTGTGCAGACTCCTTACAATATCTGAAGTTCAATGTAGAAGTAGCATCAGAAGTTTTAATATATATATATATTTTCCCCACATTTCTCCCCTCAGAGGACTCAAAGTGACTCACAGTCAGTTAAAACTGCACAATAAACACAACTGAAAAACAGGAAAGGACATCTCCACAAGTGGCATAGCACTAGGGATGGCACCACCACTGAAGCTGCCTATCTCTGGAGTCTGAGGGCTGCAGCTGCCGCTGAACCGTGAAGTCTCTCACACCTGGTCACTTGGTGGCTGAATGAAGAGGAAGGGAGCAGAAGTGAAGGCAGCAACAACACACGCAGCAGCCACAGCGCTGAAATGTTGCTGCAGAAGAGGTGCAGCAGCCATTGCCCCATCATGCCTTGAGAGCCTGGGCACTTTTAGGCCAGTTGTTTCAAAAGTGCCTCTCCCCGAGGGAATTCATGGGGCCAGGGCATTGTGGGAAGTGGGGCCAAGTCACTGTGGGGTGAAATTGCTCACCTTCTTGTCCTCAATAGGTGTGGTAAGGGTTTATTGGCAACTGGGGAACACAGATGCCCCCCACACACACACACACATAAGGAGCTTGATCTGCTCTTGCCTGGGAAAACAACAATGGTTGTTGTGGGTTTTTAGGGCTGTTTGGCCATGTTCTTTCAAGAACACACAGAAGAGAGTTTCAACAGGGTTTAACAGGGTCCATTTCCCTCTGCAAAGCTACCCACTCTAGACCATGGCGGAGTAACACTGTGTTTGTCCTTCATCCGCTGTCATCTTTTTAAGTGTGATGGTGACTGTCACTGAGTCTCACTTTGCTATATCCTTGGAACGTCGTTTCAGGAATGGAACATCCCCTCGAGGATGCTGGCAACCCTCTTCATTTGAGATCACTCTGCATGGCTATTTTTGAGGCGACTTGTTCAGCTGATGATACGCCAGGGTTCCTCCCCACATTGTTTTCTGTTGAAAAGATGAGTGCCATCACTCCAAATGGATTCTGGAAAGCTTTGATGTCACTGCAAGTAGCATTTTGTTGATACTGATCTTTAGCAGAAGCCAGAACTGATGTCTTTGCTGTGGCCTCTGGCTCTAAGTAAAGCTCTTGCTGTCCTTTACTTTGAGAAAGGGATGTCTGAACCTGCAGAGTCAATGTCCTCTTCTTGCACCATCGCTGGCCAAATTTTATACAAATCTTCCACACACTTTTGTACCGTGTTACATACAAAGGCCTGAAAATACAGCTAGACAAATTACATAAGGAAATTTTCATGGCTCACCTCAGGGAGGGGACATTTCTGACCTTCCTGATGTTTTAAACTACAATTCCCATGATCCTGTATTATTGGCTCTTCAGCCCAGGGATTCAGAGAGATGAAGTCCCAAAACTTGTGGAGGGCAAAGATTGTCATTCCTTGGCCTATCTACAAATGAAAGGGAGGGGTGAGGGATCAAATATGGCCATAGCGTAGCTCTAGCCATCATGTAGTTACTGTTGATAAAAGATTTCCATGTTTTCTGTCTCACAAAATACTATTATGAAGAAGACTGCTTCCCCCCTTTTTTGTCAACTTTTTTAAAATTGTGATTTCTATGCTCCTGTGCCGTGTCTTAATCCTGCCACCTTCTGAAAGTCTCTACTTGCATTTTTCATTCAAGAGTTGCAAGTATGGGGTGAAAACTGTATTTTTTGTACTCTCCACCCATCCTTGGGTAGAAGTAGCTTATGGCGCAATACATCTGTTCCTGGAATGTGTTTTCTGGGGAATAAATTTTGATCACTAACCAGGACCCGCCCCTTTAAGAAAGACACTTAAAAGGCAATTCTCTCCCTTGTGTTTGTGTGTATGTGTGTGTGTTTTCTTACACGTTCAACTGCTCCATGAGTTAAAGGTACCTGGTTGCTGTTGACTATCTGATTTGTTTATTAATAATAATGGAGGTTCCAACATACAGAACTTAAGCTGCACCTCCACCTGCACAATGGGAATGATGTCATTGGCAGCAGCAGGTTGCTGCTGATTAGAGGTTTCCTTTTGAAATTTTGCAGCATGCACAGCTGGTACACAATGTCAGAAAGTTGTCTGCAGCCCAAAATCTCAAAATGAAACCTTTTAATAAGTGGGAATCTTCTACTGCTAATGATGTCATCCCCATTACACAAGCAGACCCTACCCAACAGAATTTCAATCACTTTCCTTTCCCATTTCTGAGTACCAGTCAGTGGTACTCAGAAATGGTACTTGGCTGTACCATTTTCTGACCTTTAAGAAAAGACAAAGAAAAGGGGGGATCCCCCTTGCCTCCCCCCACTTCTAGGATTGACTGTCTTCTTAAGCCTCTTCACAATATGAGAAATTGACAATGAAAGGCAAATTGACAACTGCATGTTCACTTTGGTTCCTTTCCAGTGATCACCCCTACGCAAACAAACCAAAACAGAGTGATCTTACTTGCACTTAAAAAAAACCAGAATCCCTTAAAGTGACCCAGAAAGGTGCCGGTAGGAGCGCTGTGTGGACAGCAAATGAAACAGCAGGACAAATGCCCATCTGATTATACCCCAACAATCTTTCTGTGACTGGAAGGCTGGATTTATCAGATCTCCCAGTCACAGAAACCTTGTAAGTGCAATCAACAGAACACAATAACAAGTGCTGCTGCAAACTTTGCTGTGAGATAGCAAGGTTTGCTCATCTTTTGGGTAGAGCAGTGGTAAGATAATGACTTGCTTATGTGCCAATATTCTTACCACAATTCAAGCTTTGCCCAGATTTGTGTGGTAACACCTAAATAGGGCTGTATAGATTGACACTACATGGATAAGGTTCCTCAGAAGGAGACTAGCATTGTCCAGCTGAGGGTTTCTACAGCTGAGGGGGGCTGCTGCCCCCTTCCAGTGGTCAGCTGCAGATACCTGGCCTGCTTGGAAAGGTACTGTTTCAGGGCTGTGCCCCCTAATCTCCCAGGGAGGAAGAAGTATCTCCCAATGAGATCATTGGTTCCTGAGGAGGCTCCTGGGGAGTCCTTTCCCACCAGCCTTGAGACACTCATGCCGTTCACTT